ACAGTGAAAAGCATAATTGTAACGAAGAATATTTATATTTATAATAATATTTATAATATTTATAATACTAATGAAGAATATTTTAAACTGTTGTTACTGTTGTCACTTTTTCATTTAGTCCATGCGATATACGGAAAAAGCAAAGAATGGTTTCATTGTTCAATCCTTGTATCGTACGGACAAACAGTTCATTTTTAGAATGTTTCTCATAATTTTATTGGACAACGAAAGGGTTAATTCAATTTATCACTAATTTCAAAATCAAACAAATATCGAAAATATTGTTTATCAAAATATGCCAATACTATATTGATATATTTGTGTATAAAAAAATTAGGAGTCGTTGATACCCACACTTCATCAAATTTCAACTCGAGTTTTCTCAAAAATTTCTTTTTTTTTTGCATTTTCTATTGAATATATTTTTCTTTCCGATGGAAATTTCCTTGTCTACAATATTGGAAAAGTGATCTGGTATAAATCCTGATATTGTAATTGTTGGATACGTTTGCACATTTAATGTCACTATCGTCGGAATCGCAAGACAAGTCGATTTCTCAAGACACATCTGATTAAAACATAATCAATTGACAAATTGATGGATTTCGAAAACATTAGATTTCACATGGGCCATGACTTATCACTTGTAGGACTACGGAACTATCGAATGAAAATCACATGCACCAACCTTGCGATTTCAAAAGTATTCAATAAAAACTCAAACACTGTTTACTTACAGACCAGACCAGAATGAAACACAGCTATACAATAATAACTATGTACTAGCTATACTAGTATTTACTGTATACTAGCCATACAGTAAATAATGTAATAACACATTGGCATAAAAGCATTTGTCGACGTGAATGCGAATAAGAGATGATAAAGTATAAATAACGAATAAAAATTCTACAAACGAATAGCAATTAATTATTTATTCGTTATTTTCGTTCAAATAAAATTTTATTCATTTGAACATTGGAATAAAATTTTACATTTGTACACTTTAATATGTGCCCATGATAGTATGTTTATAATAATTTCGTAATTTTTTTTATCGATAAATAAATCAACCACGAGCATTATTTGAGTAAAATATTTGAAAAATAATTACTTAAAAAACATATTATCTTATTTGACTCGATAATATCTTGAAGTAATTCTACATTAGTTTGTTTCAACAAGCAAATGATTTTTCTCGAAATTATTGCATTATTTGGCTATCAAATGAAATAATATTTTATTTCATCTTGTACTTTGTATTTGTTTTGTACGAATAATTTCTTAAATAGTTTCTGATTCTATTACATACATTTCATCTTCTGCTGGGATTGTTTGTTATTTTATTTCAATGAATTCAAATAGAAAATTATTTGCAAATGACTCATTTGATCTGGACTTAATATTATTAAAATAATAATATAACTTACTTTTCAAATAAAAATAATAGATTAATGGGCGTGATTCATTATTTCAAATTGTTATTTTTTATCTTTATCTCGAATAAAGTTCAAAGTCCAATCTTAAAATAAATACAAGAAATATCATCATTCTTTTTTTCAGAATCTGTACGACTATAATTAATAAATAAATTAGGGTTTACGAAATATTTTCTCTTTAAATTTGTTTGCAAATGGACGAAAGTATTTGTACACACAATGAAAAATTGTTGATACTTTAAATTGTTATAACTTCGATAAAAAAAATCAACGTGAAATATTACTTTAAGAACCATAAGCTTGCTTTTTTCAAAGATTATACAGAGAAGCAATATTTTTATTCTCAAAAATTGTAAAAATTTAAACGTCATAAGAAACTTAGATTTTAGTAATTGAATCTGTCATTATCTTGAAGAATAAATCTTCCCTTTACAACAATTTTTTATAATTCTTTTTTATTTTTTTTTTTTGTATTTTGTCATTTCATTTAATATTAGAAATTTTTGTTCTTTAACCTTGATATTCAACGTTTAATAAAATAGTTCAATAAAAAAATTGTACAACAATGTTCAAATAAAAACTCAATCCTCAAGATCATAGTAAATCTAATCATTAAAAAAAATTTTTTTTTCTTTAATTTTGAAGACATTTAAATTTTTATAATTTTCGAAAGCGAAAATATCCTTATCTCTCACCTATTACATGATGTTTGGAAAACACGAGCTTAGATCCTTTAAAGTGAAAGCTTTACGCTTTAAAATTAAGTCAACTAGATTGCTGTATAATTTTTTCCCATGAAATTATAATAATTTGAAATATCGATAATTTGGCCAAATGTGCGAATATTTTTGTCCATCTCTGTGTGTAAATTTTTCCAACCGGCTGTAACGAATGATGCTCGTCTCGAGAGCATTTACCTCTTGTTGCTTGTTTAAAATATATCAGCTTTCAATTTTTGCCATTTCGCCCTGTATATAATTTTTTTTTAAATTTAAGAGACAGGGAAATACTAAATAGTAACTTTCCAAATAATACATCAATTGCAGACAAAATTATAGATATAAATAACATTATTTTATTAAAAAATATATTGTTAAAATTAATATTTTCAAATAATATATTGTTAAAATTAAACTTTCAAGATAGTAAGTTTCTATTTCAAATTGAAATTGTGTAATTTATTGTTTGTTTCATTGCCGTCGCTATTACTTTCATTTTGAATAGCACGCAACAACAAAATTCCATGTATCGATATATTTTTATTAAGTTGTTGTGCAAATAAAAATTCAATGCACTTTTGTTACTACTTTTATTCATTTCCTTTTCCTTTAACGATTTAAAAAATAAATTGACAGATTATTTGTATACCGACCGAACCTCGATATTAATACGATGTTAATTTTAATAACGCCTCGACGTCCGCATTCGAATTTACATTACGTAAATTAGTCTGTTTCGAGTAAAAAATAAATGTATATATAATTATGTTCGAGTACATTTTCGTCTTAATATTATTCGAGAACATGGCAACGCTTCGTCGACTTGAAGAGACTGAAGTTTTAAGAAATACATCACGTTATATCGTTCAATCGAAAATTAAATAACCTCCTTTCATCAATAGATCGAAATTTAATTTAATTTTTAAACTATATTTCATACACGAAAGTACATACATACTTATGATTAATTGGAAAAATCTCATACTGGTGTGAGTCCTTTTTACATTTATATATTCTTACGCAGGAGGGCTTCAGGCTTCTCATAAGTGATGAGAATTATCGTTAATCGTGATAGTAAAACAGTGAATAGACAAATAGGGAACAGTGAAACATGAAATTCATTTTTCTTCTTCGAATGCCGCGCCTCATGAGCGAACTAGTCAACAGTAAGTTCTATCTGAGGTACTACGAGCGTTTAAATATCCAAGAAGTTGCTTAAGGTACTTGTAAAGTCTTTATTCGTCGGCTCTCCTTTTTCCCCAACATTTCCATCTTTTTTTTTCTTTTTTTTTTT